AAGATGGTCCTTCTCCAAGAATTCTACTCCTAGCAACTCAACCAAAAAGTAATGTAGGTACTACTGAGAATAGAGTTGGAAGGGTGTGAAGTTCCAGTTCAGTTAACCTTGAGATATGGAGAACATCTGGGTCAGCCTAATCTAATCAGGTGAGACCTTTGAAAGCAGATCATTTCCTCCAATGGGTGGCGGAACTGGACAAAAATGCTTGAACCATGAAGGGAATTCAGGGCATGAGAAGTGATCTTGCCAGGAAGAAAGCTAACAGCTACATTGTGAACTTCTAATCTAGAAGACTTCAGTCCTATAGTTGAAAGAAATTAATTCTACCAATCACTAGTGAACTTTGAAGGGAACACGGAGCCTCAGATGAGAATCACAGCACCAGCCAACATCTAGGACTTCAAGCCTGGGAGGTCAGCAGTAACAGAGTGCCCACCCTCCTACCCCATAAAACCATGAGTTAAATAGGGATTATCTAAAGTCACTGAGATTATGGCAATTTGTTTCAACAAAAAATAGAAAACTAACATGGAGAACACCACAGTTCCCCAGCGAGATTCCTGGTGCTGGATGCTTGGGTAGTTTAGCCCTGTGCTGTGTCATTTTATTTCTCATGCAGTCTCCTAGAAGCAAGACAGCTAGGTTAAAAGGTAAATAAATACGTTTTTTATTTTCCTTTGTTGAGGTCAAGCATCCCTACTCTAGAAATCCAAAGTCTGAAATGCTCCAAAATCTGCAATTTTTTTGAGCACTGACATGATACCACAAGGGAAATAGTTATCATGCCACACTTGACTCATGTGCCTGGTCACAGCCAAAATGCAGGGACACTAACAATACTGTATAAAATTACCTTCAGTCAACATGTATAAAATGCATAGGAAACAAATGAATTTCATGTTCAGACTTGGGTCCTATCCCCAAGATATCTCATTATGAATATGCAAAAATCCTCCCCCCAAAAAAGTGCTTCTCGTCCCAAGAATTTCAGATAAGGGATATTCAACCAATATTTCTGGATTCTTCTTCAGAATAGTTATACTATTGTGCATCTTTTACACTGGCAGTGTAAAAGAGTGCCAGTTTCCAGAGCCTTGCCAAGAGAATACATTGTCAAATACTGCCAATGCATTAAGTGATAAATGGTATCTTAGTGTAGTTTTAATAATTGGCATTTCAATTAAAATGAAGCAGATTTAGCATTTACTCATAAGTTTAAGGGTCATCTGCTTTCCTTTTTCCATTAACTGGCTGTTTATGGACTCTTGTCTATTCCTGTCCAATCCTTTTCATTTACTTTGGGTTTCTGTGCTCCATGTCACAGGTCTCCCTCAAATATCTGGTGATTTTTTTTTTTTTAATGACACTGAAGTGTGGCTGGAAGTTTGTACATAGGAATAGGGCTTATGACAGATGGCCTCCAGTGTAGGACAAAATTCCACTGGCTGTAGTAGGGAACACTCAAATGTCAGCCATTGTGGGGCTTTTATCAGAACCCCAAGAGCTTCCCCAAGATGATGCTCCAAACTCTGGACAACAGTAGGTAAGTCAAGCTGCAAGCAGTCCGAGTTTGAATGGGAAGTAGCTAAGGCCCTCCCAGAGTAAGTTTACTTTCATACTGTCATTTGCTTTTCCACAAGCTCCTCATCCCCTCTTAGCCACACTATGCAGAACACCTCTCAAGAGCCCTGCTACAGTGGGAGAGGAGAAGTCTCCCAGATGCTCTGTGTAGGAGGAGAGCTATGGCTCAAATCTCCATAGCAATTTCTCACTTATGCTTTCAAAGTACCTGGTAATCCCATCTCATTACCATTCCAGAATATTATCAGGTAGTAATCATGTCTAATATTGTCCTCATCCCTTGCAGAGAATGATATTTCAGCATTCTCCTTCCACTAAATGAGCAAAGATTGATCTGCCAGCTTTCCAGCATCCAAAATGCAAAGTTACATGGAAACAACACTCATCCACTTTTAGTCATCTTTCCCTCTGCCATTGTTGTTTTATGCCTTTTTAACTCCTTTACTCTCATTCACACACAGAAGACAGAAAGTTGAACCCGAAGATGACTGCTAAAACTACCTTGATTACAAATCATCCGCCATCTGTTCCTCTCCTCCTGGAATTCCTGGCGCTTTGCGTGTGAGGCCTCCTGGACCCACACTCCATCTTCCTTATTGTTTTCACATGGATTTTACATGTCTTTGTCATTGGCTCAATACAGTTCAACGTGTTCTTTCATATGGACTTTCAAAGCCACAATGACATCCCCAGCAGAGACCATTGTCTCTCAGTTCTTCTGTTGATTTTCCAAAAAACCTGCCTCCCCATAGTGTTTTCATTAATTGTTAAAATTCTTTTCTGTCTCTTTCATTAGTTCTGCCACAGTAAGAGCTGCCTGGTCTTCCTGTTCTTTCTTCTTCAAGAACTACGTCTTGCAAAACTGCCTGGAGCAAACCTTGACCTACTAATTTTTCCCCTACTCAGTACCAGTTGAGGACAGGTGTGCCAATGCAGGTGAGGAAAGGGAAGCAGGTAAGGTCATCTTCCCAGAGCCTCCCAGTCTGGGGCAGGCTGGCCCCACCAATTCTTTCAGCCCTACTCCAAATGTCCTGGACACTTCTGGGATAGGAATAGGACTACAGACTCTAATCATCACACACAAAGCATCTGCATTTAGGACCCTGCAGAAGCTCCAAGGTCAATATCCACCTTCAGAGACCCAAGAAGAGGCATGTCATCTCTGCCATACAGTGCAGGAAGAATGCAGCCCACCTTGTCTCACCTGTGAGATCTGCTCTCCACACTTTCCCTGCTGGCTCTGTTGCTCCAGAGAATCAACATGGAGTCAGTCAGGATATGCCTTCAGGCCATCTGTTTCCTGTCACTTGTAAAGTTTTCTAAATATTCATCCAGAGAGACACAGAAGTCACAGCAGTTCCCTGGGAGGACTGGATGTGCCATGAGTCCCCAGACACTGAACATCTGAATGGTTTTATTCCTCCCAGTTAAACAGTCTTTACAGTTAGGGTTGCAGGAAATGTTTTAGATAGAGTGATCTGAATGGCTCTCTGAAGAACAGAGACCTGAATAACCCAAGGCAGCTAGCCAAGCAAACACTAGTGGGGAAGAGATCACAGTCACTGGGAATGCAATTGGGGAAAGACTTAAAAGCAGTACAACAGGCTTAGTGTATTCAAAGAGTAAGAAGAGCATTCTACTCTCATGTATAACTAATTAAAACAAATTTTAAAAATTTTTTTTAAAAAAGAGTAAAAAGAAAACCCGCTTACTGGAAGCAAATGAGCAAAAAGACTACAAAACAAGGGCTAAGAGATGGGCAGGAACTGGATGAGGCCGGGCAGAGTGGGTCCTGGTGAGGAGCCTGGCTACTATTTTATTATGTCTGGGTAGTACCAGAAGAGTCTGAGCAGGGTAGATGAGTCATGGTGTGTAGATACTTCTGCTGCTCTACAGAAACCAGACTGAGAATGAGAAATGACCTAAGAACACAAGTTGAGAAACTTAGTTCATCTGGTAGAAAATGATGGTAGACATAAGGAAAGATCAAAGGCATTACTTATGTAATGAACACAAGTGACCTCCACACTTCCAGCTATTATGGACTAACAGGAACAGGATTCACCTTCCAATCTAAAACAAAATATTCAAAACATCAATTTTAAAGACAATAAGCAGAAAATAAAGAAGGATATAAGTAGTAAACCCCCAGAGATGAAAACAAAGAAATCTTATTAGGCGCTTCTAAATACCCTTGAATTAGACGTGATCAACTATAATATAATGACATGCTAGAAGGTAAACAAGAGAAAATCACATAATAAGGAAAATACCTTCCATGTGAAGAGTATATTCAATTATAGCCATAGTCATGAATTGATACTAGTATTTGTCAGCACTTATCTGTGTGAAAAGACATTCTCAAAGATTAGCCAAAGCTCACACCAAAGATCATCACTAACAGATGAACAGCTGAAAGTGACTTCATGATGTGGACACTAATTTTGACTACCAGTTAAGCTAAATGTTATCTCCCCTAAAAAAAAAAAAAAGATTTTTTTTCATTAATAGAACTGTATTACAAAAAAAAATTTTTTTAACATTCTCAATCATTATTTTTCTTCTGTCAATTAAAAGACATGTGGGAATTTGCCTTGTTATATAAATATCAACGTAACAGTCACAATTTTTCCATTTTGTCCACAAAACATTAACTGTTAATTCATTAACTGTGAATTCTCTGGGTATTTACAGGAAAGGGGGAAAATAAAAAAGAACTGTACGAATTCCTAATCCAGATCAATCTCAGCATTGCACTCTTTCTTCTTATTCCAAAACAAGTAAAAATCTAGATGAAGAAGTGAACATTAAACCAGATTTTCAGGGAACCTCTGGGTTTCAACAGAGCATGGACCAGATTATTCAAAGTTAATCATAAAGCATCAGACCTTGAAGGGAACTTGAGGGACACACAGGGTTCTCTCTTTCTTTTATAGGAAGGAATTGAAATGCAGAGAGAGGAAAAAAAAAAACAAGCCCTAGCCCAGAGTAAGTCCTTGAACTCCCACCCAGCTTTCTTCCCACTTCACAAGGCTCCTCCTCTGGAGCCTTCACAGCTACTCATTCCAGAATCTCATAATAACCAAAAAAAAAAAAAAAAAAGCAAACCATTGGTTCTAAAAATCCTAAGGTACAAAGGAACAACTCTAACACCCTGCCTCAGAGTGGGCTCAGATCTAGATAGAGTACCCCAGGTACTTTCACACCCCACTTCAGATTTAGCATCTTCTCAGGTTCTTTGTGTTTCTAAGCTGAGATTGTAAGACATATATTAAACTCTTGGAAATTTTTAGAAAAAAAGTTTTCAATACCAGATGCATAAAGGCCAAGAAATATCCTGTAAAATGCATATAAAACTACTAATAAAACGTGAACTAAATTGAAGTCATTGATGAAACCATCCGAGAAGATCATACCTTGCTTGGCAGCTGAGCAGCAACATCTCACGATTATGCATCACAATATACAAAAGCACCAGGAAGGCTTTGGCTCTAATGGAAGTTGAGGGGCTGTCAAGTAGACGGATAATTGTGGAGACAAAATCCTGTGGAAGACATTTAAAAAACCTTTTTGAGAAAATGTGAAAAATCCAGGATGGTCTCAATTCCCAGAGTAAATAGATTATAATAGACAGCAAGAAATAAAGTATCAGCTACTGTTTTACATTTAATTTGTTCTAGACTCCATACTAAGTTTGATATGTATCCTCTCATTTAATCCTAAAGTTTTGCCATAAAAATTGACAGTAGTATCCCTGTTTGATAAAGAAAAAATAATCTTGAAGAGGTAAGCAACATACCCAAATTCAGAGCTGGATTTGAATCTAGACCAGCTGAGTAACAAAGCCCACCTCTTGACTCGTTAACCACACAACTCAATGTGTGGCAGTCACATCTGCATTCAGATGTCAATCTGAGCAAACCCGCACATGCAGAGATTATATCTCTAGTCCACATCTGAGATCTTAAACACAAAATGAACATTTCTTAAGACACAACAGATAGTAGAATAGCTATTGAGAGTGCTACTTGCCCTCTTAACAGGCAACTGTATTATTATTCCATGTGTACATTGATACACAAATATAAAACACACACACACACACACACACACACACAGCCAATAAATAGAAGAAGCCAGAGATATAAATACTGTGTGCTTACGGAAGACTCGGGGAGCTCAATTTTTTGTTTTCCTGCCATGCCTTGGTGCCTTTACACTGAATATTCTATTGCCAGGTGGGAAAAATTTACAATCATAAATGTGTTTTTAAATAACAACTTAGACCCCTTATTAACATAAAAGAAAATAGAAATAAAAAGGGTTTGGGATGTAGTAAAGTACTTCTGGGTACAATTCCCAGTACCAAACAAAACTAAAAACAAAAAAATCAAGAAACCTCAGGCCTTTCCTAGTTCAGATATCAAAGATATAGGGAAGATTGATTAGTGGAGCAGGAGGAGACTGAGAAGGACAGAGGAGACAGGAAAGGAGAGGAAATATGGGATAAGTTTAATAAATTTTAACAAACTCACATTATATGCATATATAAATATGACACAGGGAATTTCACTCTTTCTGTATATTTAGAAAGTACCAATAAAAGACAAAATTTTTAAAGAGATCAAAAGGAAGATTAGCAGAGAAGGAGGAGACTATGGGGAGGGAGAGGGAAGAAAACAGGGATTGAAAAATTCCTTACATGTATGATGTTTTCCAAAATGAATCCAACTGCTATATATAATGCTCTAATTTTAAAAAGAAAGGGTGTGGTACAAGAGGTAAAAGGGCAGAGAGAAAGATTCATAAATCTATCGGAGTGGAGAACATGTTCATAAACGATTTATTTAAAGAGAAAAAGTGTGAGAGATGTGAGAAAAGGGAATGTTAAATTCCATATGGAAATAAAATGCAATAAATAAAAAAGAACCACATAAAACTAGTGAATGTGCTTTGGTTCATTAGTAAAAAAAAATTAGTAAAGGGATAATTTTCCTGTCATAAATATCAATGGTGTACCTAAAAAATAAAAGAAACTACAAAACTAATCCCTCGAAAATTGGAACCTCTAATTTTTTTCTACATAGAATCACATTAACACATTTCAAAAACACTGCAGGCAACATTCATAAATGGCTATTTCATGGAAAGACAAAAATAAATGAGAATCTAAAGATTTCAGCTGATAAAAAGCTGGCTCTATCTGCTGTGGTCTGAGTGTTTTTCTCCTCCCACAAAATTTCAAGGTTGAAATTTTCACCATGACTCTGTAAGTATTGGGACTGTACGAAGGTGATAAGGTCTTATGGACCTTATGGACCCTCACAAAAGGGTCCAGTACCCCCATAAAAGAGGTGCCATGGACCTTGTCTGCCCTTTTGACCATGAGAGGACATATACAAGATGGCATTGTTGAGGAATACATTCTTACTACACACCATATCTGCTGGCTCCTTGACCTTGGACTTCCTAGCCTCCAGAACTGTAAGCAACAATTTTCTGTTGTTCATTCATCATCCAGCCTGAGATATTTTGGTTAGAGCATTAAAAATGGTATAAGTTACCACCCATCCAAAATTTTAAAAAAATAACCAATGATGAAGCCCAGGTAAACTGTATTATCAATCTTAAGGAAACATCATTAAACAAGCACTTATAGACATGAGAAACATCCAAGTAAATCGATTACATAAGAAAAGGAAGTTAATGTGAGCTGGGGTGGTAGCTCAGTGGTACAGCACTTGCCTAAGCATACATGAGGCACTGGGTTCAATTCCCAGCACCACATAAAAATAAACAAAGGTATTGTGTCCATCTACAACTAAAACATATTTTAAAAAGGAAGTTAATTGCATAGAGAGAAGGAAAAACAAGTACAAAAATTCTTCAACAAAATACAAGCAAGTTGAATCCAGCAATAAATCGGAAGTCATTATGACCAAGTGGAGTATATCCCAGAAATCCAAGACCAATTCAACATTTGAAAAACCAATGTAAAACATTACATGACAGATATAAAGAGAAAATTTACATGATAACCAATTGATAATGAAAAAGTATTTGATAAAATTCAACTATTTACAATTTTTTGAAAATTTTCACAGCAAACTAGGAATAGAAGGGACCATCCTCAATCTGAAAACAGACATCTAGAAAAACTCTACAGCTAATATCACATTTCACTGGATTCTAGGAACTGGGAATTAAGCAATGATGTCCACTCTCCTCACCCATGATTCCATATTTTACTGAAACCTATAGCCAATGCAACAAGGAAAAAGAATATTTAAAAGACATTGGAATTGGAATGGAAGAAATGTTAACAGATATGACTGTAGAAAATCCCCAAGGAATACACCAAAAACAAAAAAAAAATTCCCCAACAAGTGGGATTAGCGAGACCTGGTATATTTCTCTCTATATATTAGAAATGAGTAATTGGAAAACAGTGTTTGTAAAATAACATCTTTCAATAGCTACAACAACAAACTGGTTTAAACCTAACAAAAATAGATTCTTTGGGGGGGGCAGAAATATACTAAGGATTGAACTCAGGGGCACTTGATCACTGAGCCATATCCCCAGCCCTATTTTGTTATTTTTTTTTATTGTTGGTCATTCAAAACATTACACAGTTCTTAATACATATTTATTTCACAGTTTGATTCAAGTGGGTTATGAACTCCCAAATTTACCCCGTATACAGATTGCTGTATCACATCAGTTACCCTTCCATTGATTGATATATTGCCTTTCTAGTGTCTGATGTATTCTGCTGTCTGTCCTATTCTCTACTATCCCCCCTCCCCTCCCCTCCCCTCCCCTTTTCTCTCTCTACCCCTTCTACTGTAAATCATTTCTTCCATTTGTATTATCTTGTCTTACCCCTCCTTTCCTCTTATATGTCATTTTGTATAACCCTGAGGATCGCCTTCCATTACCATGYGATTTCCCTTCTCACTTCCTTTCCCTCCCACCTCTCAACCCTGTTAATGTAAATCTTCKTCTCAAGCTCTTCGTCCCTACCCTGCCCTTGTTTCCTCCCCTTAAATCAAAGGAGTCATTTGGTATTTGTTTTTTAAAGATTGACTAGTTTCACTTAGCATAATCTGCTCTAATGCCATCCATTTCCCTCCAAATTCTATRATTTTGTCATTTTTTAATGCATTTTTAGAGACAGGGTCTCACTGAGTTGCCTAGCACCACACTTTTTGCTGAAGCTGGCTTTGAATTCTTGATCCTCCTGCCTCAGCCTCTCGAGCTGCTGGTATTATAGGCGTGCGCCACACACCAGACCAAAAATAGATTCTTTACACTGAAAATTGCATAAATATAAAAGACTGATATAGGTTTAAGGACAGACGTTCTATGTGATAGAATAAAAGATCTAAGTTAAAGACAGCACTTCTCCCAAAATTGACCTAAAAAATTAATGCAATTTTAATCAAAATGACAGAAGGATATTTTATACATACAGACCAGCTAACTTTAAAATATATAAAGAAAAAGGAATTAGAATTGATCAAACAATTCGGGTGAGAAAGAAAATCACATAATGATTTTCTGACCAAAAACTACAGTAATCCAACAATGTGGTACTCACAAAATATAGTCCAAGGAAACAAGACACAGAGTTTAGAAATAAAATCAAATAGTTTATGACAAAAGTACAAAGGCAGTTTTGAAGAAAGGATATTCTTTTCAACAAAAAATGCTGAACAACTTGATATTCACATGGGGGAAAAATTAACTTCAAATTAACTAAACTTTAAACCATCTATGCAAAAATTAACCCAAAACAGACTGTATAATCAAAATGTAAAACTATGAACTCTTAAAGGAAAAAAAAATGTTCATAATCTTCAATTAGGAAGAGTTCTTAGATATGAAATCCAAATCACAATCCATAAAAGAAATAATTGACAGTTAATTAAAATTAAACTTCCTCTATGAAATCACTGTAAGATACATATGAACAGCAAATACTTGTATGAAGAACTCTCAAAATTCAGCATTAAGAAGTTTTAAATGCACAAAATATTTCAACAGATATTTCAGCAAGGATGTCAACTACCTTTTGAAAAGATGCTCAATATGCTTAATATCATGATCATTATAGTAATGCAAATTAAGATCACAATGAGATACCAGTGTACATTCATTAGAATGACCAAAGTGAAAAATTATGACTGTATGGAACAATTAAAATTTTTCTACATTGTTAATGGGAGTGGAAAAATGGTACAACATTCTGGAAAATAATTCAGCAGTTTAAAAACTAATATTAAACATATACCGATATGTGTTTATTCTAATGCAATGAAAATTTATGTTTACAAAAACATACTTGTACACAAACATTAATAGCCACATTATTCATGGTAGTCACAACCTGAATGAAATACACATGTCCTTCGTGAGTATGTGATACATCCACATAATGAAACACTACTAAGCAATAATTTTTACTCTATAAAAAAAGCACAAATGAGTTTCAAGTGTGTAATGTTAAGTAGAAAAAAAAAGGAGAAAGTAAATCTGTAA